GGGAGGAAGGGAGAGGGAGAGAGAGACGGAAAGTTAATTAAATTTATTAATTTGCGGAAAACAATATTTATATCAAGTTCCGCGTATAATTCAGCACGTATTAATTTGTATTTTTGTAAAATTTATGTATAATAGTTTAATATTATGCTGCCTACACTAAAATATTAAATTCACTTTGGGCAAAATATTCTCGCAAATGTGCTGTAACAGACGATTCGTGTTGCTTTGCATCAAAGTACAGTTACATTTCTGCATGGTTTGGCAAAACGCGTAAAACCACGCGCGTTTCCTTCGTAGCGGGATCTATGCGGAAAATAACGTGGGAAGCCGGTAAAAGTGACTTGTCGAAGGTCGACAATCGCCGTAGCTTAATAAAATTATGCGTTGCATTTTGTCGAATAAATTGGCGGATGATTGCGAATTACATAATAAAAACATTCTCCAGAAATTAATTTCCGTCCGAGTGGGTTAAATCTGTAAATCCGGGAACGTATTAATTGGCAAAACTGAATAAGTCAAGTTAAAGTTGTTTAATAATTAAAACAAAATTAATTATTGCTTTTTTTTTATATATAATATTTTCCGAATACACGGAAAAACCGCTTGCCACAAAAATCGCTCATCAGTATATTCTTTTGATCATAAAAATTTAAAAATAATGAAAATTACACAACTCTTGATATCTGAATATAACAAAATGATACAAAGGCAAATGAGATTCAAATCGCAATAACAAAAGACATCTTCATAATTAAATGCAAATATATTAGTATAAAATTTAAAATATAAAAAATTATAAAAATTATAATACAGTTATAATAACCGTAAGTTTAGCATTTCTTAACGGTTATGGCTGTTAAGATATCCATCTCACAACCAAATATATTGATGGACGGAAATGATCACTATTTTCAGTTATGGTAACCGTATTTTTTCTGTGCATATGATTTATAGCGTTTATATAATAAAGAATACATTTTTAAAAAATTATACATATTCATTGTTGGTACGCATTTTACCAATATTTCTTTACGTTTGTAAAATTCAAATATTACTACTGAAATTAAGGGGAAATTGTTCTCCGTATATATAATTTTCTAATATATTTAGTTTTTTATTTTTTAAACACCTGGTTTCACTAATATGTAAAAACTAAACTTCAACTTTGATTCTATTTATTCTTTACCTTTTTCTAATTATAAGAATTAGGGAAAGATAAAGAGTAAGTTAAACACAGGTTAAAGTTAATCTTACATTGATGGAACCACATAGGTCCATTCCTGTCAAAGTAGATTATCTTTAATCTCAGCTTAACTTATTTATCATCTTTTTCTAATTTTTAAAATTAGAAAAAATAAAAAGTAAGTTAAACTAAGATTAAAATTAATCTGCGTTGGCAGAAATGGACATCAGATAGATATTTAATTCTTTCGGTAATCAAATATTCAGTTAACATTAAAAGTACCGAAAGATCAATAAGTATTAACCATTTTTACTTTGTAGATTTATGTTTTGTGTAAAAAATAAGATTTTGAATTTTTTATTTTTTTTAATAATTAGATATGCCCTTCATATTGATAAAATATTTAATTTTTTATTATTTTCTTTACTTTTATGATAATTTAGTTCCTTGATTCTTTTAATGAGAAAAAAACAATTGATATTTTTAGTGTTAAATAATTCCGAAATAATATAGATTTATTGCAATAATATTTTTAAAAAAATTATCGATGAATGTTTTATCAATGAAAAGCTAATTCAATGCTATATTGAAAAAAAAACGAAATTATAGAATATTAATAATAATTTAACATTAAGAAGACATCGAGCCTATCAAGTGCGTGAATCCAAAGTGTTGCAAATTGTAAGTAGTTATTGAGACGATACGTATAAATAGTAAAACGTGTGCTGTCCAAGTCGAAACGTCTGAAAAGATTCACCAATGAATAAGGTGCGAGTGTAAAATCAGTATTGGACATTATATTACACAATGGTTCACGTGGGTGGAATTGGCCCATCTCTGGGTGGTACTCTGCCCAAAAGTCCCAGCTTTCATCAGGGTCTTGCTTTGGCGACGGTCTTATCACAGGACTCAAGCAAGGGTTATCCAGTGACGTTCGCGCTCCACTATCAACCTTTACAACCTCTTCTAATCGGTAAAGCTCTCTGTCGCTTAAATCAGTTCTTCCAATCATTTTTGCGAATTCGATTACATTTAAACTTCCATTATCGCACTTGCTATAGAACCAATCTGTGCACCTGATTATTTGTTATTAATAAAACGAAAGATTATATCACTAAGTAAAATTATTGAAGAACTAATTTAGCACACTTTATTGCCAAATTTGTATTTTATTGTTCGAGACTGTGACGTCCATGAAATGGTTGGCTCGAGGTGAATTCGGCAATCGATCTCGTTATTCCTATTATTATTACAGATTTCTAGGAATAGCAAGCGATAAATAATGTCATACGATTGCAGACAGTATTTTGAAGGCCATTATCGATCTTCCTTCAAAACCTACTCGATTAATCAGGAAAAGCAGAGCGCTTTTAAGATTTTAGATCTGCTGCTGACGGGCCATTATAACTTGTATAAATATTAACTAGAGGCAATCCTATACGACAATATGGTTTTTGTTCTAAGTTTAAGAATAGGACATCGATTAACATCTGAAATAACTGTCTATGCAAATCAAATTGTATTCAAAGAAACGAATAGAATATCGATTTTGATCGCGTGCTGCATTTTTATTAGCAGCAAATTACATTCTGGATACTCTCCTTCTTATTAGACATCCTTTATTAAATTGATTTGACCTTTTTACTGAAAATCGCAAATTTCAAGAATGTTAATATTCTGTATCTTTATATACGTGAAATATTCTTACAATAAGGATAAAACACATATTATACATATACATATATTATATAAGTATTTATAATTGAAGTATAAGAACTTATAATCGATAATATCTTGACACTGATATATGAAACATAAATTATTCTAAAGAATAATTTACATAATTTTTATTCTAAAGATTTAACTTTGTTTAAGAGTCATTTCTCATTTATGTCAAAGAGGCCAGTTGGGCAAACGGGAAAGCTATTCGTAGTAAAATAATTCAAACGAGAAAAAGAAATGAAATAGCACGAGAAGGATGCCTTCGAATGTATCCCTTCGTATTAGCGTGCATCGACATTCTCTTATAGACTAATATGATTAATAGCCGCAATATTATTCTCGCTTCTTAAGATACAAGCTGCTGAGTGCAGCGCGATTAATCACCGGCTATCTGATTTCAGAAACACAACAGGTAAACGAGCGGGAAGAACTTTTTATACAGAAGCTACGGCAATGCTGCGTCCTCTTCGACTTCGAGTCCGATCCGTTGTCGGATTTGAAATGGAAGGAGGTAAAGCGTACTGCTCTTCACGAGATGGTCGAGTACGTAACCAAAAACAAAAACGTTATTACCGAAGCGATATATCCCGAAGCGGTGAACATGGTAAGAACAGCATTCTAATATACTTCATGTATGTACATATATATGTAAGAGTGACAACTTTTGAATTTTATGAAGCTTTTTTGCAGATTAGAAATACAAGATTATGTAAATGCTAAGAAATTAGTTTGTATAAAAAATGTATACCTTAATGAAAAATATAGCTGCACGAGAATAAAGAAAGAAAAAGCAATTATAGTGCTAGCAAGGAGCATAAAAAAGTCGGTATATGTAAAAATATGAGAAATATTCTTAGCATTTACATTGCCTTTATATTTTCAAAGAAAACATGAGATACGTGTAGAAACATAATCTAAATAAAATGGTACCTTGAGAGAATAAAGTTGAAAGGTTTTACTGAGTCGACGGAAATCCTTGCAGTTCGCCGTGAATTTATTCCGGACGCTACCTCCGTCATCAAATCCTAATGGCGCGGAGTTTGATCCAGAAGAGGATGAACCAACGTTGGAGGCGGCTTGGCCGCATTTGCAGCTTGTCTACGAATTCTTCTTGCGGTTGTTGGAGTCACAGGACTTCCAGCCGTCCATAGCAAGACGTTATATAGATCAAAAATTCGTGCTGCAGCTTTTGGAGCTGTTTGACTCTGAGGACCCGAGAGAGAGGGATTTTCTTAAAACGACCCTTCATAGGATTTACGGAAAATTCCTAGGACTGAGAGCGTACATTAGGAAACAGATCAATAACGTTTTCTATCGATTTATTTATGAGACAGAACATCACAATGGTATCGCAGAACTACTTGAAATTTTAGGAAGGTAATAATAAATTCGATAAAAATTAAATGCACCACGTTAAAAAATTTATTAGATATTTATCAGCGTTTGTTTCTTTTACAGTATTATAAATGGTTTTGCTCTGCCATTAAAGGAAGAGCATAAGGTGTTTTTGTTAAAAGTCTTGTTACCTTTGCATAAAGCTAAGTCATTATCCGTATACCATCCACAATTAGCATATTGCGTTGTTCAATTTCTGGAGAAGGATCCGTCGCTGACGGAACCTGTAATTAGAAATTTGCTAAAATTCTGGCCAAAAACACATTCCCCTAAAGAAGTTATGTTCTTGAATGAGCTTGAAGAGATCTTAGACGTTATTGAGCCAGCTGAATTTCAGAAAGTCATGGATCCGTTGTTCAGGCAATTAGCCAAATGCGTATCATCACCGCATTTCCAGGCAAGTATGCAATGTTGTTATTTTGTTTTCTGCGACATCTAACTTATGCTCACTTGTTTTAGGTGGCGGAAAGAGCTCTCTACTATTGGAATAATGAATACATAATGTCTTTGATATCAGACAATTATTCTGTTATCTTACCGATAATGTATCCAGCTTTTTATAGAAACTCCCGCAACCACTGGAACAAGACAATCCATGGTTTAATTTATAACGCCCTGAAACTTTTCATGGAAATGAATCAAAAAGTATTCGACGAATGTACACAACTGTACTATCAGGTACATTTGTAGACAATTTATAGACAATTTCTATTCTATATTCCTGCACTAAATTCTCTGCACTAGAATTTTCTTTTTTGTTTTCACTTAATATCAAACATCTATTTCACTTTAAGTTCCAAAGTGTACAACCAGTTCAATTATAGAAAACAGACTTCTTTTCAGTAATACGCATATGCTGCATAACTAAATCGTTCAATTAATTAGCTGTATTCAGCATTAAATAAAAATAGTATTTCAATAATATTTTGACTAATCAATATAATCTTAAAGCTACATAACTCTATGTTAATTTAATCTTGCAGAAAGATTGAAACCTTGATAACTCATTTATCATATTTATTTTGATTTAAAACTTTATAGGACCGCCAAAAAGAAAAAAAGGTCTTGAAAGAGCGAGATGAAGCATGGATGCGTGTTGAAGCGCTCGCGATGAGGCATCCAAACTATAATCTGGCAAATAAAAGCACAACGAATAACATCTACACATCATCACAACATATAGATAATTCACCGCCCGACGAAGATGGTGACACGGATCAAACTCCGCTTACCTTGGAGAAAATTGAAGCTAAAGCTAATGAGGTATGAACTGATATCTATTGTTATTTTTAGTCGAAATGCTCTGTTATGTAAAGCATGCCAGATATTTTTAGATATATCTTAAATAAACGTTTTGTTATACAGGCGAAGAAAATGACAAATGTGAACAAAGTGAAACCGCTTTTACGAAGAAAGAGCGATTTACCGCAGGATTCGTATACAATGCGGGCATTATCCGACCATAAACGCGCCGATGAATACCTTGTTACACCGCCAGATCCTAATAATTGCTAGTCTCTACCACAACCACTTCCCATGTATCCTCTGTTTTGCTGTAGCAACATCGGAAGTTAGTTTTCTTTCTAGAAAACGGCGATAAGGACGCAAATGATTTGGCTGAGAGTCTCATTATGCGAAATCAGTTATGTATTGTCATTTCAATATATATCACATTATATTTGCTTTTTTTAATAGAAAGAAAAGAATCTTGCTATCCCGCCGCGCATACATGCGATTCAAAGATACAGTGTAGAGGTACTCATATTAGAAGCTTACGAAGAAAACTCGTTCTTTATAGAAATGCGTTGTATTTATTTCTTCATTACGGGAAAAAACATTGCGATTAAGAGGAAGTGTAATAGTATCACTATAAAAGATGTGCATGTAATAAGCAAAGAAAGGCCCTAAATACATTAGAATCGCCATCATCGGAAGCATTCTGAGGTGCTATCCTCTGCTATGTTTCAACAATAAAATAATATACGAATAATGTACGTAAATGAGATTTAATTGTGGATACTACGGTTGTAATGGATTTGGTTCTATTCTATTCTACAAGAGATTTTATACACAGATGAGAGATATGTGTGTGTGGAAATGTGATCGAAGATATACACGTATGTGCTCTCGATGTTGTAACCTATATAATTGCGCTATGCGAGCTTGTTGTGTTAACATTCTTGCGAATGAGGCGTTTCCATTTATGTGCAAATGATATATACATATATAAATATACGTACTTGCTTTAACACTACAGGCTCGTTGTAGTAAGAGAATAAATAAATAAATGAAGACGAAGAAGAAAAATACACGCCGACGCGCGTAACTTAGGATGTATATGATAGTGCTATTTTAAAAATAATAGATTGCTACGAGAAAATCTGGATACTTCTGAGTGTACTACTTTTATATCTGTCGTGCCTAGATGCCTGTGGAAAAAAGAATATGCCTCCATGCGGGGCCTATACATATATTACGAACAGCAAGATTAAGCAGCGAGTTTACATGTCGCTTTGCCAAATATAATCGATATTACAGAATTTCAGTAACGCTTGCATAACATGTTGTGTTGTTAACTCATTGATCTTGAGATTGATTGAAAGATTATACTGTTGTGGTCCAGGGATAGAAGAGAGAAGAATAGAGGAAGAGAAGAAGGAAAAATACAATTTAGTCCTTGCGCTACTGGCAGGTTGTTACGTTAATAATCGAAAAGATACCTTGTTGAACATAGATAAGATAAGCACTTATATTAAATATTAGAAATTAAAACTACAGAGATAGATTTTTAAAATTATTTACTTATTAATTATTCCTATTCAAAAGAGAGGAATGGCCATTTCAGCTAATTGAGCATTAATTAGTGGTATAAATATCATTATAAATATTATATATAGTTATTGTGTATTATTTTTATATAGTAACGAATAATGACGAAAATAGGGTAATAGTAATAATGTAGTAGCTGGTACATGTGGCAAAATGCCTTGAATTCGTTTAGTCTATCCGAAAATCTACGTTTTTCTCAAATTAGATCAATAATAGATAAAGAAGAAAATTATCGTCATGTGAAAAAGAAAGAAAAAAAGGGAAGGAGAGAGAGAAAGAGAGGGTGAGAATTTTTATTATATGTCGCATGCACACAGCAACTCGAAAAGACATGGAATCAGATAGTCTCCTCAGATGTGAATGTGTACGCCTGCAAAAGCTTAAATTGAATTGTAGAGGATCGGAAAAGAAAAAAAAATAATCATAATAATATTATTAATAATAATAACGCTGTTATTAAAAAAATATAGAATTGCCGGATCGTTAAAAAAAATGTAATAAAGACGTTAAATCTTGCATGATATCGTGGAAGTTCTTTCATACGTATTATGCATGAAGCATTATAGAAGCATTTTCAATTAAACACTAAATTATACCAATCTTGAGATTTTCAAGCAAAAACACGGATTTTTTTTTTCTTGTATTTGCAATAAATATTTTATTGTTATATCGAAATCATACAGATTTTAATCTTTAAATTCGAATTAGGAATAATTGGAGAAAATCGGAGTATCAAGAGTATCTCGACTGAATAATGCTAATATAGCATTAAAGAAAGCTCTTCTATTCGTGATTTTCGAGATTGAGCGCATTCAAGAGTCCTCGATTGAAATCCACTTATATGTGAGACCTCGTTGTGCGCAGTTTGCATTTCATGTACCTGCATATATCGTGTAAATAATATAATTATTTTTTAACGCGTATTTTTCATTTTCAGTTCCAAAGACACGCTCGTCTCGATGAGCGTCGTATTAGAAAGATTTAACGCATTCTTTTTCGTTATTTTCTCTGGATATACGAAATCTCTATAACGTTTATGGATTCGTTAACAAAAATTTAAAGAAATTTATAATTTCATTTTTTAACTATTACGTACGTAGATTTTATTTAATTTTTCATAGTGAATTTCTGTACGTATGTGTAATTACTTTTTTAGTAGATGCGCGCAATACGTATACATGGAACTCTAAAAAAGAACCCAGATACAAAGTTCAAAATCGGGACATAAGTCTTAAAGAATGTCTATAAAAGAAGTCTTAAACACATCTTTCTGCGAAAACCGTTTTAAGCGACCTCTAAGACGAATATAGACGATCTCCAAATAATCAGTAAAAGAATCATAAAAGTCTTAAAGACATTCTTTGTGAGAATCGTCTTAAGCGGCTTCTAGATATAATATTATACAATATCAAATATTGTGCAATAATATTAATCGTCTAGGAGCCGCTTTATAGATGTCTTATAATTTTAAACATTGTTATCTAGGAAAGATTTCTATGTAAATGTATACACAATGGCAATATTGTAAATATCCGTGTCGCAATCCGAATTCAGAGAAATTGAGTAAAAGAACATCAGCACTACATAGAAAAGAAATATCAATATCACATAAAATTTTTACAGACATAATTTCACTAAAGATATCGCGATTGTAACAAATGAGATAACACATTTGATATTTAAATTAATTTATATTAATTTTTTTAAACTATATTATGCTGAACATTATATGGAGCGCATCACAAAACGGAAAATCCATTGTTTTCTGTTACTATGAGCAATTTTGTTACGTCCGTTCCATTTGGATGTCGTTCGAGCGATCGAATATTAAATTCGAGCGATAATATTTCGTACACGTATCTGCAATTTGTTAAAAACATAGTTTTATAGCAAATAAAGATTATGAGAAAAGAGCAGATGCATTCTTACGTCGAGAAACGATCTTCGCATGAAATATATTTGATACCAAGTAGCTGCAAAAGATTATTAAAAAACAAAATTTTTATTCTTAAATCATTTCAACGTATTGCAATATTCCCTACGAAATGGTTGATAATAATTTATATAATATTTATAGAAAGCAAGAAAAACGCTAGAAGAAAATTTTAAATGTTCTTTATCGCTTTAGCAATAAGTTTATTCTTTGTAACTGTATTTCTTGCACAGTTTATCATTCCTTCTTTACCCTCCACGTTAAAGAGAAAAGATGTTCATTTCAAGAGGTTTAGTAAAAAAGAACAAGCCTAATATCTTAGATCCGATTTCATCGCGTAAGATTAACTTCAATCTCGGTTCATTTTATTCTTTATATATATTTCTAAGAGAATTAAAAAAAGATAAACCGAGCTAATATTACATAGATTGAATAAAAATTTTTTTCAACATTTTTTTAATCAACTTTTTTTAATTTACAAAGTTAACGTGTAGGAGCTGGGCACAAAGAAATGAAATATCTATACATATAATCGAAGAAAATAATGTATCTTTATAAACATATTTGTAATATAAAAGCTGTAGAGCAAACGTTTAAACGAATTAAAATTCGTGATAATTTGAACTATTATTTCTTTTTATAATCTTTATATTTATTTTCATTATGTTTTCGCGAAATGTTATGAGGAAAATTAAAACGTTGCAAAAGAGTCTCTAAGGAAACATAACATGTAAAAAGAAAGCTCCATCTCGCCGAGGGTTTCCTTCGAAGGAGATTTAGATTATTCTGAAGGCAGAACGGAGTTTATTGACAGTTTCAATATTTTTTTTCACTGGACATACATATCAGATTCGTCATTATGCTAACGTACATGCGATATAGACTACCACAAAGATATGCCACTCGCCACGTCATGTTATTAATTGTGATGCTTATCTCTGTCGCTTTCCTTCGTGAATTGAGCGTAAAGCAGTGCGGAATCGATCTGGAATGAATAACTATTATGGGCAGCAAGATCTTGCCATGCTTCGTGTCCGGAACTATCATCAAGGGTTTCGGCAGAGGCTCGAAGGCACTCGACACTCCGACAGGTATTGACAGGTATCACTTCATCCTTTCAACACCCGTTTAATATAAACATGTGCCATTCGAACCACTGGTCTACCTCATGGAAACAACAGAACACCGACTATCGATTGTGATATATCAATATTGACAGTAACATTCGACGTCATTAAAAAATAATAGCTAATAATCTGTTCTCATAAGCACGTTTCTTTTATCCTCCTTCCCCATTTAAGTTAAAATTAAAACCTGCGTCACGCATGTAGCAGTCAGCACGGTTCCAACATGTTTCGCTTTAGGTTAGGATTCTTTTTTCTTTTTGAATCGATAGATACCTATTTGTTTCAAATGCACCTCCCGCGTTTTATGTTCTCCGCTTTCTCACCTCGTGACCTAAGTTATAGTAACATGATACTTTTTAAGGAATAAAATAAGTAGAGAAATATTGTCCTGATAGAACTTTATAGAAACGATATTGGTACACTTGACGAATAATTGTTTCAATAATATTTAACGTCTATTATGTAGTTTAATTTTAATCTCGATTCAACTGTTAACTCATCTTTTTTTTAGTTCTATAAAAATTAGAAGAATATAAAAAGTAAGTTGAATTAAAGTTAATCTATAACATTAGGCGGTAGATATCCCCCATTTATCTCAAGCGAAACAAACGGGAACTGAAGTTAACGTTACGTTCGCGAAACGTATCGTTCGATTCTGGAAGAAGACAGGTAATTATAAATTGTAATAAGGCTCAATATGTTTTTAACAACTAATATAGAGAAAAACAGGGCAATGAGCCAATAAAATTTCGTTAAAATCTTTTAAATTAATCTAATATATTGAAGAATATCACGTGTAATTATAGCATTTCATCCCAGCTTCCACTACAATGCCTTACAGCCTTTTACTGATGAGTTCAGGGCTGCGTTCAGAATCATCATCTGAGTGCACCCAGTGTCGTGTTATCCTTATTTAAAAGATTTTAACGAATTTTATTGGCTTATATCCTGTTTCTCTATATTAGCAGGTAATTAAATTTAGATATAAGAAGCACCGAATACCAACGCACGCATACGATCACGCACACATCGCGGTTTTATTCACACATATTACATGTATATGTATATATGACATTAATTTTTTTATTTTTAACTCTTTTATTAATTTTTTATAGTAAAAAAATTGTAAAATTGCTATTTTGTCAAAATGAAAACAATGTCATTTGCTGGGTCTAAAGAGAAGTTATGTTAGAAATTTAGAATAAACTCGACGTAACAAGTAATGTGTGTGAAAAATGTAACATTGATAAGAAAAAATTTTTTTGATATTATATTGTTTACAACGCGCTCTATCTAGAAAATTAAGATGATAATCAATAATATATGACACGTCTTAATATTACATAATAGCGATCGATGCGATTATGACAAATATAAGAATTTTATTACATTTTTTCTTAGAAAAGATATAAGTTCTTTGAAAGATATTCGCAAAAATGAATCCATTTGAATAGAAATATTTCCCGTTAAAAGTGACTTTGAGGAGACATTTAAAAACTTTTAAAAAATCATAAATTTAATGTATAAAAGAAATATTAGATAAGGAGAATATGTAAGTACTCTTTGAATATTTTGTAAGCAATTCGGCCCGTTGAGTTAATTAATAAATTAATCTAAGTTTGAAATTATCATAAGATAAACATTGTAAGCGCGTAATAGTACTATATATCCTCAATACTATATATGCTTCGTTTGAAATGCGAAATGCGAGAAAATGTATTTTTTAAATATATTTTCTACGAACTTTTTTAAGAAATTTAAATTCTCTTTTATTACAGAGAGAGAGAGAGAGAGAGAGAGAGAATTTTTCATAACTATATCTATTATATATAATTTATATTTAATTTTCTGATCAGCATAATCGGTCTCACACATATTTTATAATATATAATTTTTATCTATTTCTTTTAAACATCGAAAATACAAAATTATTTTACATCTATTATGATACCACATTTGATCGAAGTATATTCCTTTTTTAATATTTATACATAATTAAAATCAGTATTTGGGATTATTATCAGAACAATAATATGGAAATTTGCAGAAAATTTCATGTTTTTCTTTTCTTTTACAAAAATCAGCTAATCTCCCAGAATCCGTAGTCGATGCTTTACCGAAGGATCTGAATACTGGAATTTATTATGGCTGGGCATCTTTACAAGGAAAAACTTATAAAATGGTTGCGAGCATAGGATGGAATCCATATTACAAAAATGAAAAAAAGTCACTGGTACGAAAAATAATTTCAAGATATAAAAAAACTTCTTACTAATTAAATCTAAGATAGTTCAGTTATCTTCATATGAGTTATATTATAATTGTATAGCTCAGATAATATCACTATTTAAACAATTATAAAATATTATATCACATATTCAAATAAATACTTTAGCTATTAAAAAAGTAAATAAAACAAATTATAATAATTATTTTGCAGGAAGTTCACTTATTACACAAATTCCAAGGTGATTTCTACGGTGAGGAGCTCAAGGTTATAATTGGCGGGTATATAAGACCAGAAAAAGATTTCTCTTCTGTAGGTAATGAACGTTATCATCATAATGACATAAAATATATGTAAATCATAAATAAATTACTGTTCTTTCAAAGTAATTTAAATAGATTACTATTCCTTCAAAGTAATTTGGCTGTTACTAATGCATTACAGTGTGATTTTATGTTACTTATTATTGCAGAGGAACTCATCATAGAGATAAAGAATGACATTGCAATCGCGGAACGTCAATTGGAAGAACCTGTTGTAAATAAGCTGAAAAATGATGATTTTTTTAATGATTAATAAAGCAAATCCTTAATTTTAAAAAATGTAAACTTTTATCTGACAAAGAAAATATTTTACTTCCAGTTGTATATTTAATAACCTTTCACGCTGGCGCGTCTAAAATAGTATTTTAACTCTTTCATCAGCACTCTGGATCGTTGAATTTCATTGAAAAATTTTTATATTGCTTCAGAGATTGTATAAAAATCTGAAAACATTCTAATACTTGTCAAAGCTTTAACAAAGTCCTCTTGCTTCATTTGACTACGACCTGTTTGATTCAATAAAACATTTCTTGTGAAGATGACAAAACTGTTAAGCAAGTTGAGGCAGCTTGTCGTGAATTCTTTGTGTTTAAAGAGTCCGAAGGTATCGAGAATAAATCAAATAGTTATCAAATTTATAGTATATTAAATTTATAGTAAATTAATGAGCACGTCGATCTGTATTTCAAAGAATAATAATTGTCATTTTTTAATAAATTTTTATATCAAAATCAAAGTTAGTCAGAACTTTTTTGACAATTTAGTATAATATAAAATAAAATATAGAGGATATAAGATCGGAAAATACTTCCACACAAAAATACAATTGTTATTTTGTTATCTTATTAATGTATTTGATATTATATAAGTTATTTAAATAAATTTGGATCGATATTATTCGCATCCGTCATATTTGAAGAAGATGGAGGAACTGGTGGAAACCAATGTGTATTTGTCGCATTTGGCATCAGTACTGGTGACCAAGCTGAATAAGAAGGAGGCGTATTCATATACACATTAGGACGATAATGTATCCCTACAAACAAACATTAAATATTGATTTAAAGAAACACCAAACAGAAGAAAATTGTAAGATATTAATTTTGTAAGCTATATTATTTTTGAAATTAGGCTCGGTACCTTGATAATATTGGTGTGCACCACTATTTGGATTGCCATACTGTGGCAAACGTGGTCCGCTAAATGTTGGTCTGTATCCTGCATATGGTCTATTGGACATCGGATATATGTTTTGTGGAACTGGTGGCCAATAAGCATTATATTGTTGCCAAGCATTGTAAAAGTATGTTCCATTCTGTGCAGAATTAAAATGATTACCACTATTCCAATTTTGCTGGTTCCATTTATATTTTTGAGATTGGACTTTTTTATTGTTGTTCCACGAATGATTTGATTGACAGCCCATTTCTGTGTGACAAGAATTTAATAAAAATCAATCAGTAAAAATTATTTAGTCATTTGTAGCAACTGATACTGATCTTGAAATTAATATATTTACCCATTTGATGTTGGCGTTTCTGCTTCTGGTTGTTAGAATCTTTGGTACCTTTCTGCTTCATATTTTCGTAATAAGCTTGTTCTTCCTCATCGTCTGAAAACGTCGGGGGCTCGTCATCACCAATCGCATCACAAGCCTTTATCCTACAAGAAAACATTTATTTTGATTTATTTATTTATTAGAATATACAATATTACAATCGTAACATATATTCTATTCATTAAAGTACTAACTTCGTCAACTCATGTAAGAAAACAAGAGACGTGTACTCTGAGTTCGGACAATAATACACTTGCATACCAACTTTAATATCATTGTCCTCTATATGTTTAGCACCATTGAAGCGAACGCAATAATACGGTTCGTTCACGGAACCAAATACATCAAATATTTTACCAAGTGCTTTTGTCCCCTTGTTTACAAATAAAACTGTATCCAGATTGAGTGTAGGCTCACCAGGATTTGGTTTCACAATTACTAATTGTTCAACAATATTTTCAATCTGAAATGAACATTTAGATATTACTGGATTTTGTTATTAATTTATTTTACACCTTAGATATCCACAAATGTATGTGTATATATATATATATATATATATATATGCACATATATATCTAATTAGCTTATTTTAATTATACCTTGCCAAATGAATTACATAGAACTTCAGGGACACTTATTTTTAAATCTTCTATTGGTGGAAGATTATCTAATTCATTTGGTATGTGCTTTTTCTTCCTTGACGTATTTACTTCACTCTCTTTCTTCCTGAAAGTTAAAATAATTCAAAAGTTTAGACTCATATAAAACGTGATTAAATATACGTTATAATTTTATGTTTTTGAAAAGTACCTGTTATTAATATTTACATTATCATCTGGATCACTGTCACTGCTACTATCACTACTACTGTTGCAAGTACTACTGCTATTGCTACTACTGCTATTACTACTACTGCTATCAATGGTACAAGTAGAATCTTCTTCACTATCAAATTCTTCACTTGATAATTGTTTTTCAACTGTACGATATTGCTGTAAATTCGGTACTTGTGACACAGTTTGTTGATTTTCAGTTGTAGTATTTGTCTCTTCTACATCTGAATCTGTGTCTTCATATTCTATAGCAATAAGGTTGAGAGAAGATATTTCATTTGTTTTATTTTCTGTCAAAAAAATATAATATTGAAAAATTATATGTACAGAATACTGCAATATAAGTAAATATTATTTGTAATTTCAAATGTACTTAAAGTATACTTTTGTGTATTATAAATAAAAGATGTATAAAAGAAAAAGATATGTAAAAAATTGATAAATACATAAAGTAGATATACATAAAAACATATACTTTTGTGTTTTTCAAGCAGTGAATTTGTGTTTTGAAGTAGAAAATAGGTTATTTTAGGTTGTTTTAGGTCACAGTACATGTGCACGAAAGTAAAGTACATATACATAACGCTCATATCAAGTCAGGAAAACTATTCCTAACCTGAGAATAGTCGTCAAAAACGCTTAATATCTCAGTTAGCGGGACAGAGCGATACTTTTTAGCCAGATTCTTTCGTTTCATGCTAAAATGCGTCGATTAATCCTAATTTCATCAAAATTGGCGAGGAAGGGTATCTCCTTCATAATTACTAAACACCTTAATAAATCAAAATACATTTGTACCTGTTTGTTTTTGTAATGATGGATTGTTTACTTGTATCTCATAATTATGAACGCTTGGTTCTGTCACTTCATTAATTATATTATCACAATTATTGATTGCATTTTCTGTCTTATTTGCATCTAATGTTATTGTTGTATCAAGTTTGTCACATTCTCTATTTATTAAAATCTTAGTGTCTATTTTTTCTAAATTTTCATCGGAGAAAATTTCTTTATGTTCTATGGAAGGTTGTTCGTCTAACTGTAATACCTCAGCTTCTTCTTTCGACGATTTTTCATGATGCATTAATTGCTGTGATGTTAATAATTCTATCTCTTCATGGAATGTCTTTTTATTTTCTTCTTCCGATGTTAACATGTTCGATAGTATCTCTTTATGAACAATTTTATTTTCATCTGTATTTGTTGCTGTTTCCATTTTAACACAAGCCACGTGAAACTTCGCAAAACGTGTTACAAACTTCTGTACATAACGATCGTCAGTCAACAGTGTTGATTACTTCCTGTATATTCTATTTCTGATTATATTTTATTTTTTCGTACAATTGTATCATCAGGTAGATAAAAATAATATGTAAGGAAAGAAAAGAAGAACAAGTTTGTGTATTGACAATGAACTTACATACAATCACATGTGCTAATTTCAACTGATCAACCAACTTATTACACTGTGTGCACCAGATCAGACAGTGCAGAAATAAAGAACACCTGACACTTTGAGAAAGCACTTGGTAGGAATCCGAACACGTCCTGTACACAATAGGATTATAGTCAGTCAATAAATAAATAACATGTATATGAAATCTAAATAATTAAAAAGAGACTATTAAAAAGGAACAGATTTATTTCCTTAATTTACAGAACGTTTTATTAATAATTCGAGATCAGCCATATTGAATATTGGCTTGCTGTGTAGGCGGCGTTTAAAACGCTCCTTCCACAGGTGATCGGACGAGTTTGCCGTCTATGTACTTGTATGATTTGTGCGGTTCTTCCCGTTATCGAATCCGCTCCGCCCCGGAACTGCCCGGAACTTGTTATGAACTTGATAATTTAGCGAAGAACAATGTCAATTAATCTGACGAAAAACAAAGATGCCTTGGTGGCGGCTTGGCACGGCGTGGTCGACGATAAATCGTCTACTAACTGGTAGGCGTATACTTAAACTCCAATTGCATTTCCTCGATCCGGCGTGTGTAGCACCGAATTCGGTTTCGGTAACTTGCTCGTATACATACGTATATGAACGTCAAGTTAGCCGGTTATTTTCCGTCTTATCGAGTTCATTATTCTGAATTCGAACATATATTCCGATCTGTAAACTTTGCTATTTTGCGTAAATATTGGATTAACGTTACTTACTGGAACTCGTTCTTACTGGATCTATCGTGATTTTTATTTGTTCTTAAAACTAATTTTTTATTCGCTTTTTTAACAACTATTATCGAGCAGGAAAAAGGTATATTAAATGTTATTTTTATCTGCGTGAGATGGATATTAAACACGTTTGATTATTTATTTTTAACGAATAAAAATAAGTAGAGAAAGTGTAAGATTATAATTATATTTAAAACATAAAAATATAACTGTATAATTGGCCATGTTCAAGCTGGACGAAGCAGCTAGCTCATCAAAAAATTGAATGTGATTGATTGGATCTGTTAGATAAGAACCAATGGTGTGTTTAATTCGTTAACGTTCAATATTTAACTACTTTGCCAATTTGAAGCTAGAGTCATGATTTATTGATGTAAAATTTGATCATTTTGAGAGGGATTTGATTGTGCGCATTGCTAATTGGCCAATTTAATTTAAAATATTTTCATTGATAAAACAGTGAAAAATTATTAGGCATTGATTGATGTAAATGGATGTAGGCTAACGAGATCTTCCCATAATTGTGACTCAAATATTTTACACGACTCATAAATTAAATTTTTTTGACAGGGCTGTATTTGGCTATGAAGGGCAGACCAATGACTTAAAAGTAGTCGGAACAGGAGATGGTGGATTGGAAGAGATGATTGATCGATTGAGTAGTAGTCACATCATGTACGCATTTTGCAGAGTTATCGACACTAAAACGAGTTTACCAAAGTGTTTGCTTATTAATTGGGTAAGTATGAAAAATATATATAGAATGGAATATGATTTATGTAAAACAATATATTTTGCACTTTTATGAAATTATAAAAAAACATGATTAAAACTCATAAATTTTATGATAACTTAGTCTGTAGAGACATTTGCTTGACAGACTATTTACTTACAGCAAGGAGAAGGTGCTCCAATCGTTAGGAAAGGAACATGCGCTAATCATATTAGAGATGTAGAAAAATTGTTGAAGGGAGCACATATAACAATTACGGCACGTTCTGAGGATGATGTAGAGGTAGACACGATTATGGAAAAGCTTGCGCGAGCAACAGCCTCCGCGTATAAATTTAATGAACCTCGTAGTGAAAACGAAGGACATACAGGTCCTGTTGGAACAACATATCGCAGGTTTCTAATTTCTATCTTGTGATCGTGGAATTGTTATTAGAATGCAATTCTTACTTAATGTATGTTTTATAGAGTAATCCCTGAACAAGAAATAAATGCAATGGAAAGAGATCAGTTTTGGGAAAAGGAAGAAATGGAAGAGAAAAAAAGATTGGAGCATGAGCGATTGCGTTGTGAAGAAGAACGACAGAAATTAGAACGAGAAATTAGAGCTAGAGAAGAAAAAGAAACACAATTGAGGGAACAACAAGTACGTTTTAATTCTGTATATTTTATTTTTCGATTATATACATATCTTATTGTATGTATTAAATATTATGTACATTATGTAGATTACACATATGAAATATTATTTCAGGTAACTGCTAAGGAAAATTCAATTGCTCGTCAAAAGATGGCCGAGCAGCGTGCTGAAGAAGCAAACAATTTACGCAATCAAAAAGCTGCTCAAAATTATAATAATGATGTCGAAGATGATCATAAATCGCGAAGCGAAGAATTACGAAGACAAAGGAGCAAAGAAACGCAACAATTGATTGCTCAAAGAACAATAAACGCTCGAGCGATATTTGAACAGAATTCGGCAGCCGGCCAAATGAAGACGACTTCGGCCCAACAATTTTTACCTAAGAACAATCTTGTGGAATCTATGAGAAAAGCGTTGGAAGAGGCTCAGATAAAAGACCAGCCTGATATAAAGTCTCACGAGGAAACACCGGCCGAACCGAAAAAACCTACGAGTGCGGAAACAGTGACGATTTCTTCGTCCACAGTGCCACAGTCTCAAAATACTAATCAAGAATTGAAAACTACCACCAATCCACAATCGGAACAAACGGCAGAGACTAAAGAGCAGGTCACCGAAAATGAATTATATAATCAATTAGATGGCTCGTACTTATATTTCGATCCGAATAACGAAGGAATGAAAGCTAGAGCTTTGTATGACTATCAAGCTGCTGACGACACAGAAATCACATTTGATCCTGGAGACATAATCACACATATAGACGCAATTGACGAAGGCTGGTGGCAAGGACTCGGACCTGACGGAACATACGGACTTTTCCCTGCTAATTACGTTGAAGTTATCGAATACAATACAACATGATAAGATATGTTTTTGAGAAAATTTATCAAAATCATTTTCATTTTCTTCATAATTATATAAAACCACTTGTACGTAAGATTAATATCAGCTTATCCCTGATAAATGTTATTAAGTTTCTAGCTATAAGTAAAAAGAGAATCACGTGATGATAATTCTGAATAATTAGAAAAGAATTTTGTAATTGAAACGCGAGTAGCATATAACATTGAAACACATGTCTTCTCATACCATTTTCGAGCCTTCCAGGTCATTGCTTTTTAATCTTAAAGCATTTATGAAAGGAGTGAGTTTACAGTTATGATGTGAAAATTCAGTTAGTAAAATCTCTGAAAAGAGATAATTTAAATGTTAATCATAACTAGTAAAATGTATGTCTTCCCAGCAGGTCATACAAGTTTTATCCATAATTAACCTATATTACATATAAACATATATCTTTTTATAACATCCTGTATCAGATACTGATATAGCAATAACTGAAATGCATCTTATATGTACGAACGCAACTGTGTTACTGCAAAACTGTAACAGCTACGTATATTTAAACATTTTTATCATTTTTAGAATAAATATTTTGATTTGTTATAGTTTAACGTAAAAAACTTGTTAGTATAAAAAAAAAACCCCGCTTAAATGCAAGTTGCTTTTTCATTTTTTATATTAAATTTTTAAATGTTAATGTTATGTCTAAAAAGAAAAGCATGAAAATGCTTTTAGTTATCGTTGACACATCGTAAGAGCGGCAATTGATACATATTAAGTTGACACATATGATAAATTATTTTATTGTATAATAGAAATTTTTAAAGATAAAGTAGCATCACAATATTCATGTTACATAAATAAAACAAAGAAAATCATCTTCGATAATTTTGATTCTGTGCGCCACCTCCACTGCCTGCATGACTCAAAAAAGCTAAATGACCTTTTGGACATTTATTGGCATAATGACCTTTCTGTCCACATTTGTAACACGTCACTTCTTCGAGTGGCTTTTGTGGTCCTCGTGGCGGTGGTGGTCCATTATGTATATTCATATGATGATGGGAGGTATGAGAATTGTTGTCGAGCTCCTGCCTAACTTGAGCTTCCCGTACATCGGGTGGCATTTTGTTGCAATAGATTGCTTTATGACCTCCTTCTCCACAAAAGTGACAAGTGATCATAACTTTTTTGCCTTCCTTTGGTTGCATATCTTGTACCGCTGGTAATTCGAATCTTGGACTATATAAAAACAGATTGCAAATGTAGAATCCTGAGATTTCAAATAGATTTCTACAATGGACTTGCGTCTTTATATATATATATATATATATACTTACTGCATAAATTTACAATTTGGCCCTTCTGGACAAAAACCAGCTAAGTAAGCCATACATAAAACACGTCTGACATGCCGATGCCGACATAAGGGACCGTGCCTACAAAAACCACGATCATACCATGGACAATCTCTGACTTTTGTCTCCGGATCAATATGTAAAAATGGACATTCTTTATTGTGACATGCATCTGTAACAATTTATTTTGTTTAAATATATATAGAATGCTGCATATTTGAATCATTTATATTAAAATGTTTATATTAAGTACTTACGGTAAAAGGAAAATAACTATAATATAAATATTATTAAAAGCTACTTACTGAATCTAGAATAAAAATAACATTCTGGCATTTTTGTCATATCGTATTCATGTAAAAATTCACACTGATCACCCTTTTTGCAAAGACCTCTTAACCAATGTTTACATACTATTGTGCGATCGCCTCGAACATGCCTGAAAGGACACGAAGCTCCTTTGCTACAACTGCCTCTCGGATAAAATTGACATACTGCGGCAATTGATTCTGTAAATTAAAGAGGGAGAGAAGATTATTTATTAAAAGTTCTATATTATTAATATATAAAATAGATTTATTCTCTCTCTTTTAACAATATCATACTGCAATAATCCCTAGGTAAACATAAGATAGATTATTGCTTATTTACTCGAAAGTT